TCCATCTGTCATAACTCAACCAAAACTTACCAAGGGCAATTGTGATCATCTTCCTACCATGCCCAAGTGATAATCCAGCTCAGGAGTAGTTAAAACTTGTTAAAAAAAAAAAAGAAGTACCACCACCAACCAATCCCTACATTTTGATTGTCCACTCTTCCTTGTTTCAAGGGTTGATCCTAAATCACAGGGTCTGATTTGCACGGACAGTGTATGGCAGAGCTCTGCCCATGGGGAGTTTGGTGGTGGCTGCAGCTGCCAGGATAGATGCAATATCCTCTGAGGCAAAATCACAGCTGGAACAAACAGGCGGTTTGGAACACAGCCTTTCTTCAGCTCTACATAAAAGCTTTTGTTTGGAGGGAGCTATCTATATATGGGAATTTGGAAAATCCCCATTTGGAAAGGAAGTGAAGCAGCCCTGTAAGCAATGGGAGAAGGATGGTATGAACTTCCCTGGACCCGCAGGTGGGCAGCAGCCAGGCTGGGCAGTGGGGGCTCAGGCTGTGTCACAGTGTAGGTCTCAGCAGCTCCAGGCTGCGTTTGTGCAGGGCATGAACTGGGAACTCTGCCGACCCCAGCAGTGCCACTGCAGCAGGATTGGTCCCTGTGCTGGCAGGTCTCAGTTAACACTGTGCCGTGCCATCTGCAGGTTCAAGTCAGCTCTTATTTCTGTTATGACTTTGGAGACAAACTACAAAAATAGTTCACTCCCGGCACTCCCCAGCTGTATTTATCCGCAGAAGTTACCCAGTGACTCCAGCAACTGTACAGCGAGACAAGATCTGGCTGATGCTTCTTCCCAAGCGTCTTGAATCACAGAACTGCAGTCACTTCTAGGGTGAAGCACGGCACATTTTCAACCACATGCAGCAACATCACACCAAAACTTTGGAGATGGGAGAAAGTCACCGAAGGGTTTTACGCTGAGAGAACGCAGCTGCTCACGTTGGAGCCATTGGAAAGGCCTCCTCCCATCACAAGCACTGCAGAAGTGGCTGTGGACCCTCAGGCAGCACCCAGAAGGAAGGAAACGCCGTGTGGGCCTTGCTGCTATTTCCCTCCAGCACCGTGTCACACCAGGACACACTGTCCTAGTTTTCTGTTTCAGCTGCTTATGTGGAATGAAGGAATTTGTGGAACGAGCACACAGGTAGACACAGGCACATCACATGGCTAATGCAGAGAGGGACAATGTTCTCTGAGCAATTTTCTGTTCATGCCAGGGATCTGAGCCCCTCTGGCTCCTGCATGCCATGCGGTGCACTCCTCGGGCTGTTTGAGGCCCAGATAAAGCATGCTTGGATGGTTTGGAAGGAGTCAGCTTGTCACAAAGTACCAGCCCTCAGCTGGATCCCAGACACCAAAGTGACTGCACTGAACCTGTGGGTCATCACAGTGAGCTAAAAGCCAGAACAAAAGGAGGCACTAATTGATGCCGTCATTCATTCACCCCGAGAAGGAGGAGAAGTTAGGTCAAATGGAGAGGGGAAGGAGTGCTGTGCTGAGCAGTGGCCAGAGTCATGGCCAAGCTCAGGGTGCCTCTGCTGGGACAGATCTCAATGCACTCCATCCTTTCCCACTTTCCTAAGGGCATTTCCACCTGGAATTTGTTTCTGCAGTACTCCAGGCAGACACAGCATGCTGCTAGCTCCTTGCAGTGCCTCTTAGGAAGCATGTCACCAGTGACTGAGGAGGGATGTGTTGGTTTGAGTCATACACATTTCGGAAGCAGAGACAGCAATTCTGGGCCTTTTCATTTGTAAAGGGCAACTTTTATCACTTTACAATGAGATGACAGTGGTTGACAACACTGGAACATCTGAATAACCCACTAAATGACATCTTGCTGATGAGGACAGCTTGGCTGACAGCAGGCTCCATGGTAGGTGGGGGAGCCGACCCCAGTCAATAACTGAACACCCACCAGCAGCAAGGAACCCACAGGTCAGAGCACAGATGCTTTGGGAGCGAAGGAAAGCCACATGCACAAGCAAAGCACAAGGAGTTCATTCACTGCTCCCATCAGAAGGCAGATGTTCGGCCTCTTCTTGGAAACTGGGGCCTCATGCAAGACATGCAGAGGTTACTTGGGAAGAGAAATGTCACAAACAAGAGTCCCCTCTTCCCTGTCCTTTCCCTGAGGGCAGCACAGTAAGGGGACCTTGATGCCAGCATGCAGCTGCCTTACCAGTGCTGCTTTAGTCACAAATCACAGCACCAGCTCCAGCCAACTGGGGCACACCACAGGATCTCCAAGTCCATGAGGAGCCCATGTAGGGCACAGAAGTGATGGGAGATGGGAGATGGGAGATGGCTGTTCTCCTTGCAGCTGTGCTGTGGGACCCGACCCTGTGTAGCAGCCTGGCTCTCGGAGCTGCAGCTGGGCCAGCTTTGTTTACGAGCTCACAAAATGACAACGAGTTCAACCAGCTCCTTGCTTTCGCCTCGCCTCTGCGATTTGCAGTGCTTTATATGCGTAGGAACAAGTGAGCTCATTTGCAGAGTTCCAGGAGCGGGTCAAAGAGCAACCTGATACAGAGGTGGAAAATAAGCAGGAGGGCTGGCTGCCAGAGCGTAGAGCAGAGCTGAAGCTCTTGGGCCTGACCTGAGTGTGCCAGCCCGCTCACCATCCGAATTTAGGGCACCTCTGACCCAGCCGTTTCACCTTTTCCTTTTTAGGAGAAGTTCTACACATCATCTGTCCAACAGCTCACAGCTGGGAGCAGCTGCCTCACAGATCCATGGTAGTGAATGGGTAAAATAAGGAAAAACAGCAAAAAAAAAACTCCCACAAAAAGCAGGAACAGAAGTGGCTCATTGCTCAGTAAGAGGCTTCTGGATTTCTCTTGTAATGTAGGTCATGGATAGGCAGCACCTCTGGCACTGTCTCTCCCAGTTACAGAAGAGGGCCTGCTGCTGCATGCAGCAGGCTGAGCAAATGGCTGCTGGGTTATTGTGGCAATTCTTCATCCTTCACGTAGTGTATCCTCATCCTCACCCCATGCCAGGGGTGTCAGGGCTGTCCACATGTATCAGCTTCCCAGCCAAGGGGGAGCTGGCAGCAGAGAGCTCACTGCTTCACTGCTCCAATCCTGTTCTCTGTAGCCACGACATCAAAATAAGGAGAGGAAGATGTGGATGTGCAACGACTGACTTCTGGAGTCTGAGACTGTATAAGAGCTACGTTCTGCATCCCTGGCTTGCAACCACGAGGTTGTATGAGAGCACGGCAAGATCGATGGAACAGCACACAGCACTCGTGCCTGGTTGCACAGACTTCACTTTGCATGTGGAGTCATCTGGGGGTCCCCAGCAGAGATCCTCCAACACTTCAGATTCCTGCCTCATTTCCTCATACATTTTTCACTGCAATTTCCCCAGCTGGACCCAGACTGGGGTCTCATTTTGCATTCCTGGAACCAGAGAAGCTCTGAAACTTGGAGCCACCTTTAAGCAGTACAGATGAGGTATGGATGCAGCTGTCTGTTTTTAATCCAAAGACTATTCTACGCAGTGGATCTCTTTCCTTATTGCTCGATTCTTATCTGCTGACTCTATCCTGTCAGGAAAGCCCAGACAATTTGGAAAAAGCCAACTTTGAGAGAACCTCCTTAGAACTCTGTTTCCTGAGGAATTCCCAGCTACACAATAAGCTATGACTTATAGAGCAGCCAGGTCTTGGCCTCTCTCAACAATTGTAGCCTCTTGACCTGTCAGCCCAGGGGAGAGGAGACGATCTGGAGCAATCTGCACACACGTACAAGAGCAGCCTGGAGAGCAGCCTGCACACCGTGAGACGCACGCTTGGCCATCATCCTGGGCCCGGGCTCCTGGTTTGACAGATGGGGGAAGCTGGCCAAGACATTGATGAACGGGCCTCCAAGCACCCATCAAGCTGCATCCAGTCACAACAGGAAGGGGAAGCGGCTTGTGGTTGTGAGTTCCTACCAGGAGGGACAGCCTGGCCCCTGCCTCACGCACAGCTGCAGGAGCGCCAGCCAAGCTGCACTCCCTGCTCCCAGCCTGGAATTCGGGGGATATCAAGGCCAATTTCCCATCAGACCCCATGCCAGGTGGCAGTCAGACCCTCTCTAGCCCAAGCTCTGCCAGCAGTCTTCTGGTGGGGGCAGAAAATAAAAGGTACTGTTCAGATTATGCCTTTGTACAGTAGCCTTTGAGATACAAGAAGTTCGGTTTAAATGTAGGTGTTACCCAAAAACTGGTGTGCTGTGATTCAATGGGCTTGGCACATGTATGGCTCCAGCAGAAAAGCACAACCAGACTTGTCTAGCACAGGAACTTGCAGAGTCCCACTGTGGAGGGCATTTCTACTTCAGCTGAACTTCGGCTCCAGCGCTTGGAACAAGGCTGCCTGTACAAGAAGTGTTGCAGAGGGTTCATTACTGCCCTTCTCAGTAGGGGGACAAAGCCATCTGAGCAGGAGCAAGGCTCCAAGGACAAAACAATCATCCTTTTTGTTGTAAGCCTAGCAAAGCAGCTGGGGAGAGAGTGGGAGGAGAGGGAACAACTCCTACCCAGTCTGCAGGGCTCCTCCAGCAACACTGGGAGCTCCTGTACCCAGCACATGGCTGGATCTGATGCCATGCAGCAGCAACGTGTGTGCAGCCTATAGAAGTCGTGTTATTCAGCCTGACCTTGTCAATGGCAAAAGCCAGAGTGAGATTGAAAGGGGAGAACAAGTTTGGAGTGATGAGAAGGGAAGGGGAAAAAGGAGTTCCATCCATCAGCAGGTTGCTATTTACAATGGAAAGAAGAGGTAGGACATAGGGGCTAGGTTGGAAATCCTGTTTCGTAAACAAGACTATCCAGGATAAAGCCTGTCCAGGAAACATGCCTGAGGGACACAGGGGGCTCAGCTGGATTCTCTACTGCTGACAGCCATCCTCCCATCATGAGCCCTGCCAGCCTTGCACTCCTCCCACGTCAGGCTGGGGAAATAGTTGCAATTCCAGCAACCCATGAAGAAAGAGGTGACTTGATGCATGCAAAGCAAGCAGAACAATTCCCATTTATTTTGGGGATAAGAGGCTGTTGTTCTACAGCTGGGTGCTGTAATGTCCGACCCATGGATGAAAGAGCAAATGCTTTCCTTGGAGATCACTGGTGCTATCGAGCTGGGATGTCCTGTCTGCTCTCCACCCCTCCTTGGAGGCTCCCAGCAGCAGCCTCTCTGTGTACAAAGCCAGGCTGGATGCCTCCCTGCAGCTGTTCTGAGAAGGCTGGTCCCAAGCTGGAACCCAGAGGAGCATCTTTTCCACAGGAAGGCACATGGCTCACGTTGGTATGAGCGTGAGACTGTGCAAGGGAGATTATGGCCACTGGCATCCCAGCCCTGCTGCTGCACATGGGCAGCTGCATAGCCCTGGGTCAGCATTCCTGGTAGGACAGGGCAGGGACAGAAGGGATGGCATGCAGTTCCCCACAAGAATTACAAAAACAAGCCTTCTTCAGCAATTTTTCACTGCAGAGCCGACTTCATCCACATCCATCCAAGCTGACTGCCAAATTTCCTGAAGCCTGCATTGTCCACCCCCAGCAGAGATGGGACTGGGGCCAGGACCCCGGCAGATGAAGGTACAGTTTGAGCTTTCCTAGCGAGCTGTCCGTGCAGCACACTGCATAACCCCTCCAAACATCTGGCACATAGGCATGGGCAGCTCCCCACTGCTGAACGGGATATTTTGGGATCTAGGTCAGGGGAATTATTTCCAGCACTTGCAGCTGGAAACGGACCCAGAAAATGTGAAAACAAACTTGGTTGGAGGCAATTTGGTAGCCATCTGCAATGCTCTGTCACTGTCTGCTTCACAATGGGAAGAGAAATGAATTGTTTTCAGACCTGTTGATTGCATGGGTTTGCCTGCACTAATTAATTACTCTTGTAGGTATGGGTGGCATTAAGAAGTTATATTCCATCAACCTTGATGTCACAGCATTAGTCATGGCAGTTGGCAGTTCTACCTCCCTTCCACCCCATACTATTTCCAATGCCTAATAGAAACTCTCCTTAACCCCTGAATAGCTGCTGGGGAATGCTCTGCAAACCTCCCACATCCCACAGCGCAGCACAAGCAAAGGAGCAGCACCCAGAGCTACATGCAAGTCTGGCTGCCCTTCCTGGCCATGCAACCCTCTGCAAGCTCAGCTCAGCTCAGCTCTGCCAGTAATGAGTGTACACTGCTGGCACTTTCCAGTTTGGATTTTTCACCTTTGTAGCATTACCCAGGTCTGGGCACACCCTTTAGCTCTACAGTTAGATCTTACATGCCATACATTTTAGCAACAAGTGACCCAAAGCTCTGCCCCCACGTGCACTGGATGTCTCCCACAGTGTGTGATTGGGGCATGGGAAGTGGGACATGGGGAATTTGCAAAGTGCTGCAGCTATTTTGCACCAAGTTGCCTTGAAATAAGCGCGTTGGCCATCTCCCTGACTCACTCTTTCAGCTTTTTCAAACAAACACACCTCCTCTTCTACACCACTACCTGCTCAAGGGCCAGCCTTCCTCACAGAGTGTCTCACCCCCATCTGTTTCAGAAGATGCATGAAGCAGCACCAAATAGCTCCAAGTAATGCATTTATCCTGAGCTGAGATATGTGACTGCTCATCTTTCTTCCCATCAGGAGAGGAAAGAGGAATCAAAGAGGCATTGCTCAGGCTGGGGAGGAGCTGAAGCCCACTGCAGGGTTTTCAAACAGGTTATCCTTGTGGAAATCTGCCACTCTGTAAGCACTTGTAAGTCAAATCCTGGTTGCTACCGACAACACAAAACTTGGCCATTCCAGCTGTTGCTCTCCTTCCCAGCTGCAGCACTGAGCTGAAAAAGCAGTGAGGCAATACTCACCATCTCCACAGCCATTTTCCAGCCTTAGTGCTTGAAAAATGAGGACAGCCAAAGCTGCCCATTGAAAAATGGGATCGGGGCCGAACGAAGGGCAGGAGCCAGCATTCCAGGCAGATGTGGCCTCAGGTGCTGTTGCTGTGCTGCTGCAGGCATGTGATTCCCCAGTTGCACACCCTGTTGTGTGCCCGTTGTGCAGACCCTACCCCATGTGTCCATGCTGCCTCCAGGCACATGCCAGGGACATTGCTGCTCTGCTGCTTTCCCTGCGGAAGGCACTCAGAGCATCCCTGCAGGGCAGCTGTCTCCTCTCTCCTCCCTGTGTGGGCTTCTCAGAGATGAAGATGGTGCACGGAACACGAAGAGCAGTGCTATAGGTGATAATGCATCTTGGATAACCCAGCAAAACTGTTATCTTTTCCTCACCATGTTACAGCTCTGATCCTAACTGGAATCAAACCTTTTCCGGGGTTTTAGATCATAAAGAATTTGGTTTGGTAGGAAGCAAAGCAGCAGGCTGGATGGACTGCTTCTCTGTAAACCTGAACTGAAAACTTCTGTGGGCTGTGGACCAACAGGTCTCCTCTCCATTCTCCTATGAATTTTCAGACCTCTAAGCATCTGTAGCACAGCTGAGACCAGAAAGCAAATGCAGAAATGCAAGGCTCTGTGCAGGAGATAAGAACGCTCACACAGGAGATAAGGTGCTGCGAGTGGAAGGATTGTTTACTTCTCAGTGGCAGCAGACAGAGCTTTGGGGGTGAGCCAGGAAGGCGATGGAAAGGGATCCAGAGGGCTGAAAAGAGGTTTCTGCACGGAAGGGCTGGAAGCCAGCATGGGGCCAAGGTAACCACAGCGAAAATAGAAACCAAAAGGCCATTAAAGCTGAACAAATTAAAAGATGCAAGGTAGCAGAAAGTCAGAGCAGCAAAGGAGGCAGGTGGATCAGCCATCAGAGGAGGCTCTTCATCTGTCCCCATAAGGCAGGCAGACCCCAGCCCTCCTCCCAGCTTGTGCCAAAGCAGCCTGGGTGCGTGAGCAGCCGGAACGCAGCACAGATTTGTGGCCTTCAGCAGCAAGAGGTTTGTGTCTGGGAGGAAGTCTGCTCCCCTGACTGCTATTTTTACCCCTGCTCATCTGGTTAGGGGTCAGGGCTTGGTTTCCTCAGCTCTCAACTGCGTGCTTGGGAGACAAGGAGTGCAGGCACGATCGAAACTGGCGGCTGCTGAATGCAGAGCGATGAACCAGACAGTGCTACCTCTTCCTGCTTCCCAGCCTGCCTCTTTATGTGTTGTTTTTTTTTTATTTATTCTTTGCTCCTTATCTCTCCTTGTGTTTTATGTAAGCCATTGAAAAGCAAGTCCAGCCCTTCACATCCTGCCTGCTCCGTCCAAGGGGGCAAAGCACATCGGGCTCTCTGGTGTGACCCAGTGGTGCTTCCCAGTGCTTTGCTGAGCATCCCTCCGCAAGCACAGGGACACACACTGCAGCCAATTGTGTCCCCATGCTTCATCCTGCAAACACAGGTCTCCCTTCCCACCCGCTCCTTCAGCTCCTAGCTTTGCCAGCCCCATCTCCTTGCGGTTTTCACTGTGTCTTATCTACTAGCATCCTCCCAGGGCAAGTTCTCACACCTTTACAGCCACTGGAGACAGACACGGGGGGTGCTGGGGGAGCTGTTATCTGGGTATCTATTGGCACCGACAATCCCTGCAGCTGCCAGCCCGTGCAGATGGGCAGAGCAGTCACTAACATGTTGGTGGGATTGCAACACTCCCCAGAGGCTCTAACATACGTAGCTGCCTGCTTGGTGCCACACAGATAAAAATGTGATGACAAAAGGGCAATTTTAGCGCATTGTTGGAATATTAAACCTACTGATGAGGATGAGCTGGAGCAGATCTGTGCTTCCAGGTGAGAAGGAGGAATAACCTGTGCTCAGCATCACTTCTGCTGTTATGGGGTCACAGAGGCAGCACCTGTGCATGGCTTGCTGTGTGGCTGGGCACCTCCTGCAGCTCCTGAAGGCTGGAGAATGCAGGGAATGAGCTCAGCAAGCACTTTTAGGGTCAGAGCCCTGGTGGCATGCTGAGCCCAGGCTTGGACTGAGGCCATGTGAGAACTTTGCAGGCTCACAGTCAGGATGCAGAGCACCACCGAGTCCATCTGCATTACCTTCCATGTGCTTTGGGTGCAGCGAACCCAACAGACACATCCCCAAGCTCCAGTTTTCCTGCTTTCCTGCAGAATCCTTTACAAAGCTCCCCCTGGCACTGCCTGGGGAGCTGCAGAACAAGTCCACATTGTTCCTGGCTGCCTGAGCTGGGGGGAGGACAAGGCATGGGGGGAGAAGAAAACACAAATGCTGACCTTACCCAGCTGTGCTAAATGGTCTGGGCTCGTCATGGTTTGTGCATAATCCCTTGTCTCCATGCATAGGGTTAGGGTTTGGGGAGCTTGGCTTTTATTTCTCAAGCAGAAAAACAGCAACACTGAGTTACATGGGGCAGTATTTGCTGGTGTCAGTTCCCCAAAGCAAAGCTTTGCTTCTCAGAAACACTTGTATTGGTGACGCCCAGGTCCCCCTCTTTGTCAGGACTGCCAGCTGTACAGTGAAATCTTGCTCCCCAGCCCTGAAACAGTGCTGCTCTCCACTTCTCTTTTAGTTGGTGCTTTTTCCCCTGCAGACCTCTGAGTGATTGAGAGTTTTTTCTGGACAGCAGTCTCTAGCTCTCAAAGAGGACTGTGAAGTAGTTAGCAGCATCTGCCACGCTCTCCCTTCCAGCCATTCTGTGCTACTATTGATTCTGAGGGCTACGTAATTTATTTATTTTCATATTCTTCTGCAGCTCTTCCACAAAGAGCCCTTCAGCAACGCGTGCCTGACAGATGGCCTCAGAGCTCTGCTGTGTTTCAGCAGCTCTGCGTGCCCAGAGGCGCATTTAAACACACACAGACAGCTTCCCAGCTGCCTCCCACTGCTCACTGCCACGTAAGGGACTGGTTTGCAGGGCACACTGGTGCTGGGACAGCTGGGTTACATCACTGCTTGCTTCCTTACCTGCACAGCATCTTCCACCAGGGACCTTCCCCAGGATAAGGGTGCAGCGTGACCTGTGCTGCAGGATCAGCTTGCTGGGTGCAAACCTTTGGCAGGCACCCACTGCTTAATTGTTTCCTTTCATTCAGAGTTTTCCCAAGCTGGAAATCATCACTGGTGACCAGTTAGCTCCAAGACAGCGGAGGGCATTGCAGGAGGACAATGGACATTTCCCTGAAGACGCTCAAGTTACCATTAAGCAGTCAGAAATACAAATAAAGAGAGCAAAAGAAGCTATCCAGCATATATTTGAGCGGAATTGTATTACCATGCAGATCCCTAACAAGTTAACCTACAGAGATCTCAGGAGATCAGGAGAATGAGTGTATGGGAACTGCTGGATCACGGCCTGAAGCTCTGATTGATCACCTGAGGCGAGCTGTGAGTCAGCCAGAGGAGCACAGGTGAAGGCAATTCACCTGTCCTAGACCTATTTAAGAGCTGGCTACCAGCAGGGAAGGATCTCACTTGGAGATCTGCTCTGCTGGTGTTTTTTGTGGGTGAGCCTAGCATGCGGGTAAGCCCTCCATTTATTCTCTCTTGTTATCTTAGTCTGCTTTGCCTAACTCTCTTGTTCTTTTTTGTGATTATAACATCTTAATATCCATTGGTTATACACTTGGTGAGCCAGGCAGGCCAAATATACTAAAATTTACATCACGTCTTTTCTTTGGAACGTCTATAAATGGGTCAAGGGGGAGAACAATACTCCTCTAGAGAAAATGATTCCAGGGCAGATCCCAGGATTTGTGGGATCCCCCTATTATGAGTTAGCAGTAATCGTTGAAAAATGGGGTCCTTTACGTGTTATGGGCAATATCTCCCCATGTCGCATGGTGGATTACTTTCAAGGACTCGGCAAGGATGTGCTCATCACTGAAGAAAGACAACTGGCTGCCTCCATGGTGGTATGGCCACTATTAAGCACCTTAAATCATGTGGATATAAGAAATAATACTTCAGAAAGTGAAAATCAACTTTTAAAAGACTGTATTGAGAAACTGGAGCATGAACTTGGCATATTAACAGGAAAGAAGAATTCTACATCTTCCCATAGGCCAAGTTTGTAACCTTTCAATAAACAATGACCAGACTCCTAAATCAACACACTCTGTTGATCAGGAGAATAAAAACTCCAAATTAGATCTTGAATATCCAATTCTGATTGATCCACTCCATCCTGTCATAGCCCAGAAAACAAAAAAAGTGCAGGACTGACCAGCAGGGGTGCTGCCTGCCCAGACTCATTTACATGTAATGACCTGGCCATGCACAGCAACAGAATTAATGGCTTTAGTGCAGCAGTTGAACATGGGTCAGTTGGTCCTAAGCAATAGGCGAGCGCCGTTCTGAAGTGGAGCAGGTTCCATGTGAACAGCAGCTCCCATACGATGAGGCACATGGAGTCCATCTGGCAGAGGTGACACTGAGAGTGATGCCCTGAGCTCTTGGCAATGCACTGCAGCTCTGCCAGGAGCAGCTGAGCCCTGCTGGGTACCAGTGCCAGCAATTCCCATTGGATCTGGTTCTCAGTGACCAGAGCCATGCTTGTGTGATTGGGATTTGTTCTTTATTTCAGGAGGCCTTTGAGCTTATTCATCCCCAACCCTTACACTCTGAATAAATCAGAGAATGGGAATTAAGGACCTGCATGACAGCAGCAGCTCTTCCTCCTGCCACTTGTGGAAGCTGTTAGCATTCACTTCTGTCATATTAAATCCACATGTAATTTGTACATGAAGCTTCTGTAAGCGCTCACGCACAGCAGGATTGCTTAGGATGCAGAACAGAGGGGTGAGACGATCCGCCCAGCACTGTGGGGCTGTATGGACCAGAGCAGCACAAGGGGAAACTTCCACAAAAAGGAGCTTCCCTCGTCTCTCCCTGGTTCATCCATCTGTCAGTATGGATCCCACCAGTAATTTGGTACAGAACATTGTCGGCAGCCTGCAAGCACCCTTGGTGTGTTGTTACATTTGTGAAGAATGAGCCCCCTTGCTGTGATGGCTCCATTCCTTTGGATTTTATTTTTCTGCCCCTTCTGTTAGCAATCAAATCGTGGTTTTGCTGTTTGCCTGCTTTCCACGTTGTAATCCACAAACACCCCCCAAAGCACCCATTGCAACAGCAACAGGACTACATTCCCACTTCCAAACAAACTTGGGAGTAGGGAACCCAAGCCAAAGATGCCCAAATTCCCCTTAGACAGAGCATTCCAGAAACCTCAGCATTGCTGAGCCACAATCCTCATACCATCCCCATCCTCACCCCAAAACCCTACAGGTACAAAGCAGACACCTCTCTTGCAGCACAGCCAGAAACCCAGGTTCTGCTGTCCATCCCTTGGCCTCCTTTGCTGCTTTTCTCCTATAGCCAGCTGCAAGCACCAATGCACACCTGCAGGGAAAGGGAAAAGCTCTTCCACGAAGGCATCAAGGAGCAGAGCTGGACCAGGTGATGCACAGCAGAATCTCTGAAGTATCAGCCCCATTTCAGCACGAGTTGGGTTATTAATGTTTTCTCTCTTCACCTTCACAGGATGAGAACTCACAGTTATACTGTGCTCATAGCTACCTGCCATAAATCCGGCACGAAGCAGCTGTCTCCTGTGATTCATGCTGGGGATACATCCAGCTCAAGGTAAGCTGCCTGCTTGGTACTCACTGTCGGTACCTTCAGCTCTTTCTGGATATATATATTTTTTTATCTTGGAAATTAACGCTGAGAAAACGAATACTCCTGGCTCAAAATCCTTGTAGCCTCTTATCAGACCAGAGGCTTGATTTTAAAGAAAACAAGAAAATTGCCTTCCTCTTCAGAAGGATGCCAGGCTCAGCTGTGCTGAACTCCGGAACAAAGCCCATGTGAGGGTTTGAGGAGCACATGCACAACACACACAGCAGCCTCCTGCAGGCGCAGTCCCCAGCTGGCACAGCTGCCCCAAGGCAGAAGACATCAAGGGTGCCTCTGTTCTAAGGACAGAGATCTCAGGTCTGCAGTCTCACTGCTGTGCTGTAGTCATGCTTTGCTGCACCAGGGCTTCCTTGAGGTAGAGCTTACCCCAAGATCTGCTGTGATGCAGAGAAGTGGCTCCAGCTGAAAACAGAACGCAGGTGTTTCTTCCTTTATAGTCCAGGGAGTTCTCTGATGCATAGACACTGTATGATATTCTGCAAGATGCCCTACCAACCATATGGAGCTGTGTAAGGGGACTTCCAGCAGAGTTATTGGTCAGGTTCTGCACCTTGGGAAGTGATTTCAGGTCGCAAGTCAGACCAGGAAAAAAGCAAGGCAGTTTAGTCTGTGCTCCCACCCTGCAGAGTCCTGTAACAATAGAAAAAGCCTTAAAATGCAAAAATCTGTGTTCCTCCAACCATTCAGGCTATGGGCTGGAGCAGTCTTGTTCACTCAGTACACAGAAGCATTCAGCAGTAATTTGAGCTGTAAATGAGACATATCGGAGCAGTTTCACCTGAAGCACTGTGGAAGTGATTTAGCTGGGACTGGTTTGCTTCAGCTGCCAGAATGGGCTAAATGGTGACAAGGGCTGGCAGAACACTCAGTTGTACATTCAGAGGGAGCCAGCAAAGCTGATATATTACACTGCTGGCCAACAGCACAGAGCTCTGCTGGAGTCCAGAGTTCAGCCTCTTACCATCGCAAAACGACACAATGGCCAAAGCCCCAACCAATGGCTCTAACTGCTCAAAGCTCCAGCTTTGATTCACATCCAGCTTTCCCTGTCCCCATCTGTTTGGTGGCTGGGCTGAGTACCAGCCCGTGCTACAATCCAATCCACTTTCATCTGTAGCTATCACTGATTATTTGAGGATAGAACAAGAGTTTGCAATGAGCTGCAGCCAGCTGATTCCGGTGCAGCCTGTACTATGAGACAGAACAGAAACTCCTCCAGTGGAGATTCGGCATGATCTTTATTCAGACATAGCAATGGCAATAGTTGGCAGACAGGAAGAGCAGCGGGGGGAGCACGGAGCTTGCAGCAGTCAGCAGCACACAGCCCCACTGATGCCGTGCCTGAAACCATCAGGGCTTAAAGGGAAACATCACAACACGGCTGGGGATGACCTCTGGAGATCATCTGGTCCAAACCTACTCCAGCAGGACCACCTGGAGCATCACACGCTTACACCCAGCTGCCATACCTTCTCACATCCACTCTTCGGATTGTGCAGCACTCATGCTACATCCAGGTGTCTCAGAACAAGGCACTGTCTCTGAAATCTCTTACCCAGCCCTGGAAGAGCCTGCAGTGACCCTGAGGCCACTGGAGATCTCCAGCTCGTCCTGCAAGGAGCCTTAAAACGGAGCTGAACGAAACCACAGCAAAGGACAAAGAATGATTTGCAGGTTAATACCCACCAGCTATCACCAGACAAGCACACTTCAGATCAGCAGCTGGAAGGGGACAGACCCAAAGAATGGCGTATATCTGCAGCCAGCCCAACAACCTGGCTCGGGGACAGGAAAACAAGCATAGCACTGCTATAGGCTATGGGAAAGAGGGTTTGTTAACTGGGGAAGAACATCTGGTGCGTAGGAACTCTGCAGATCTCTAGCACTGCAGAAGCAGTGACCTACAGAGGTTGGGGCTGCCCAGCACTGAGAAACCCCAGCTGCTTCCTTATGGCTGGATGCTTTCCCAGCAGCAGCTAAACCCAAGGAGACCTCTGTGACCATGCTGTCAAGACTGGAAATAGAGCTGCCATGAGCACAGCAGGTCCTGGAGGAATTCTGCTGCATGTTGTTTTTAACACCAAGGAGCTGCACTGACAATCTCTCCCTGGTGGTGAGCAGCAATCTACTATGATATAGACAAAGCTATAGGAGGTGGCTCATGACACTTCTCCTGCTCACAATGAGCACTGCTCCGCAGAGGTCTCAGGGTGATGCTGGGAGGCAGCGGGGAGAGTGAGGATAAGGGAGAAGGGCACGCTGGGTGGGATGGGGCCTCTGGCTCAGACCCAGGCCTTGACATGGGGGCTGCAGCCCCTGGCACAGCCGCACAGACCGCCCTCCTCATACCAGCGCCACTTCACACCCTTGTACAGGGCCCGGCTGCACGGCTGGAAGCACATGAGGAGGCGAAGGCGCCTGGCCAGGCTGCAGTAGGTGGCCATGGCCACCACGATGAGGGGCGACATGATGACGAAGCCCAGGATGATGAGGGCCGAGGAGCTGTTGTCATCCAGGATGGTTCTGCAGTAGCGGGCAGTGGAGTGCAGCACCTGTGGGAACACAGGGAGTTTGTCACAGAGCAGCTGGTGGATAGGGGCAGGGACCAAAGCAGCCCTGGGTTTCAGTGCCTTCCCAATGAGGCACGGCTGCTCTTCCCTCTGCAGTCCTCAAGCGACATGATATGACTGACAACACTTTAATCAGGCTTTCAATTACTCGGGCATCGCCGTGAGACAAGAGTGCCACACTGCTCCTGAAGCAGGAAACCATCTTTATTAAGTTATCCATAATAGCACGCCTTAGCATTTGATATCTGGGAACCAAACAAAAAGGCCTCCCGCTGCTGCACCAATGTGGGTGGCACAACATGCTGGTAATTACAGCTAAGTAAATCAAATGCAGCAGAAATGTTGGGTCCTGCAGACAGATTGGTGGGCTGCAGATTCCTAAGCCTACTCTGTGCTCCATCTTCTACACACCACCGTGTACATATTTGGATCTCTCAGCACTTCAACACCTGCTGAGAGGTCCTGCTCACCCCGTGCTGCTGTAGGGCACTCAGCACAGTGCTGGTTCTGGGGCTTACAGCCCTGCTTTCCTGCTGGCAGCAGCAGCATGAGGCCAAGCCACTCACTGGTTCTGTGCTAACAAATGACATGGGCAGCCCTCACCCCCCCTCACCCCCCCAGCCTCCTTTCTTTTCTCTATATGCTTTCTGCAGTAGAAGCAGCACAATCACATTCAAAAAAATAAATAAATCCATCTAATGGCTCTGCAGTGCAGAAATCAGCCTCTGGCTACGAGGAAGGCAGAGAACAGCAATAGCCTGAGGACAAAGGGCTGCTCTTGTCAAGCCTTCCTGCAGCATTCCCCATCTACATCTATTAAAAGATGAGTCTGAGTTAAAAGACTCCTTGCAGCTAACAGCACTTGCTTTCAGGACTGATGTACTCTGCTTTACTCAAAAACCTTTTGCTGCTCCTCAGAGCCCAAAGCCATCAAGCAGAGCCCTGCGTGTACAAGGGGTAGTTTGGGGTCTTCCAAAAGGCCAGTGATCCCAATTGTCTCTTTGCGAAGACCGAGGGTCTGTGTGCTGAAACATTACCTCTCACTCCAGGATCTGCTCACTCAGAGGTCCCAAGGATTTGGCTGACTAGATGGGATGCACAGATTTCATTAAGAAGGGTGGGGGAAAAAAAAAAAACAACAACAAACTTCTCCTTTTATGTTTCTCAGGTAAATATGTAATTTTGAGAAGATTCAAAGTCTTCCCTTTGTTCCAATTTTGTGGAATGGGGTGGCCAACAGCATCTATTTTTGGAGCCTGTTCTCCCTCCTGGGAGGAAGTATTGCAGGGTTTGTTTTTTCCCTCCCCAAAGCAGGAAGAGAACCCTCCTAACACTGGGTAACCTGCAAGAGAAACCAGATGGAGCTGCTCTAAGAGCTACTGCTGGTGAAATTGTTTCTTGCCATCCACTTAATCAACAGATTCCAACCATATTTATGGAAACATAAGAGGAAATTCATAGGTATTCTTGGAATAATGAAATTCAGAGGATAGCAACAACATGGAGCAGGCACAGCCAGAGCCCTTCCTGACCAAGCAAATTTACTAGTTACAAGTGAGAAACTGTACAGAAACATCTGAATCTGTATACAGGCATAAGAGGGATTACAGATACTGCTAGGCTTTATTAACGCTGAATTATTTTTTAGGAAGATCAAATATGTCAATCACTGGGGAAAGGTTACTTAAATGGAAAGTAGCAAACACCACCAGAGCTCTTTTGCCCTTTAGTTTTCCCTACTCAAACTTCCATTCCAAATGGAGCAAACTTACTTACCCGAGAGTGGCACTGGAAGCCAAAGTAGACGACCACAATGGTGGGAAGCAACACGATGGTGAAGATAACAAGCATCAGGAGCAAGTTGATGAAAAAGACTAAGAGGTTCATGGTGGCTATCAGCAGAGCCCATGCCCAGCAGCCGCAGGTGCTCCGTGGCTCCCGGGGAAGGAGCTGGTCATCCATGTCATACGGTGGGAGACTGGGATGCATCTTAGACTTGGCCAAGAGGCTTTCTGCTGCTAAGTCCTCGGTCTCCTGGTCAGCCATGTTGCAAGAATGCTGCTGATCAAAGTGGTTTCTTTTGTTTTGGCCACAGATCTGCCTAGGCTTTTCCTAGCCCTTGCACATATGGACAAGAACACAGCCAGAGAGCGTAATGGAGCAAGGAAGGAATGATCTTTTGGCCACCTGCTTTCCCAGGACAAATTGTTCCTTCTTAGGTTGTTTTCCAGTAGTGTCCTGATCTCAGTTTTAAGGCAGCTTGGCAACAGCTATAGTTCTGCTTCTGAATCCATGGCACCCCTGAATTCCCGTTGTTCTTTCCAGGAGTCCGACTCCAAGAGGTCCCCACCAGTTGCTCTCAGCTTTGATAGGTAGCTCGGTTCAGGAGAGCACCTGGCTTCATCTTCCTCCTCCAACTCTTAGCACTGCTGTTTGCCAGCAACACCAGCACCTCCAGACAGGTCGTCGACTTTAAATCACCTTTCCGTGCTTCTCATCCCGTACCCATGGAAATATTCCTTCTCAACTCTCATCCAAACAAAGTGCCCGGGGATGATAATGAAGCAGAGCTGCCCTCCCCTCTGCCTTGATGGAGTCCTTGCCCACAGCAGGCAGAGATGGAAGCAGAGATGGGAGCAGTGTGTGGTCTCAGTGCTCTCTGCTCCCCGCTGTCACAGTGCTCCAATGCACGCAGTGCCTTCCTCAGAGCCTCGCAGCACTGCTCTGTTTACAGTGTGGCTTCTGAAGCTGCTTTCTGTGCCAGCCAATCACTTACATCTGCCTCACAAGTGATTTAGCACACAGCACCCAGGAGCCACACTCAAACCATACATTCCCAGGGCAAGATGGTCTCTTTCAAACTGAAATTATTATTCTGCCCGTGATTCATTTTCTACGTTTTCTCTCTAGATTAAAATGCCTTATAGTAATTGATAATAATCACTATATAGCTTAGAAACCTTCTGTTCTCTGCGCTCGCCACTGTTATTGTCTGCAGAGCACACTGATGTACTCTTGTGCTGAGGGCAGAGTAATGATCACTTATTCTACCTCCCTGATTTGATGAATGTTATTTAAGAAATCACTGCTATCTCTGCATTTGTATCACCTTTCAGATGAATTCACTTGTGCAGGAGGAAGAAAACTTTCTTCCAGGAGGTGCACAGGTCTTACCAGAAGGCAGAGCTCAGCACAGCAGGAAAGCAATCCAGGAGTCCTATCTTCCATTTGGTGCTACTTCCTAGAGAAATTCTGCACTAGGAAAGGGCTGAGAGACTGCTCAAGCCGTGTTTGTGGTGTTTGAATTCAAGGAAGGCTCGTTCAGGAAGCCTCCCAGTTCTCCCAGTACCTTCCCTCCTCAGGCTCAGGACTGTCAAATACTGTTTGTACAAAGTGAGACATCCTGGGACCATTTGCAGTCTGCCACACGTAATCAGCGCTGAAGTGTAGGCTTGAAGACTCAAGTGGATTGAAGAGAGGTGTGAGAAAATTGGTATTGATTTCAAATACCAGCAAAAAGGAAGCCTTATGAAACAAGTAAGGAGTTTTAAAAACAGCTCGGCACCATCCACATTTGTTATGCAGTTCTCCTAGCTATTACAATTACTAGTTGATTCTCTTACCACTTCATTATTTTTCTACGGCTCTTCTTGTTAAACCTATCCAGCATTCAGAAGTCTCAGGAGCTTCACCTCATGAACATCTAGCGATAAAAATTCCCCTAACCAGTCTGCACTTGAGCGCAGCTCACAAGTAAGGTGCAGCATCCATACTAAGAGCACAAACCCTCACAGCCAAAGAACACCTTGTTCTGTCCTTACCATTGACACACCCTGAAGAACAGCAAGGCAAGGTGAAATTGAGAAATCAGCCTGAGGGTCACAGCCTGTGTCTCACTTCCATGAGCACAGATTTGGTTCCTCAGGTCCTGGATGAATCTTCAGCTGCACATCTCTCACTGCCCTGCTTTGAGATACAAAGGGTCTTTTCAGGCCTAATTGCTGAAAGGTTTATTAATTATGCAAAATCCTAGCTTCCTTATGATGTTTTGGAAAGGAGGAAATGAAAAAGGGAGCCACTATCTCCAGTATAATCCTGTTTATTTATGAAGTGGCACAAGAGTCATTTATTCCTGCAATACAGCAGGGAACAAACAACAGCAGGCACATTTCTGCACGCAAGCTAGTCCCATCTGTTCCTGAAGGGACACACTCTGCTTCCTGGGCATTCTCCAGCCATGTGCTTCTCCTCATTCCTTCCACGAGGTGTGTTTTCTCTGGACTGCCTTCCAGATCTCCCACGGACACAGTGGCCAGACACAGCAAGGGAACTCACTTTGCTTCTTGTGCTCTGTACCATGCCTGTTTCACCCAAAGGGTTGAATGCTGGCCATTCCCCTGGTATGTTCCAACTGGCTGCGTTCCATGCTTGGTGTTTCCTAACTGCAGGGAAGTTCACCTCCCTTCACCTGGAGGCAGCAATAGGGGAGGACTTAGCATCACTTGGGAAACCCACTCTCCACACGAAGCACTGGGCAGCTGTGCTGCTCCTTACCAGGAATGACTTCAGCTAGATTCTTCTTGAGTCATTTTATTTGCTTAGCTGTAGTGCTGAAGGTGACATCTGTTTTGTTTGTTGTTATTTATTCCATCTGTTGAGCTCTCACAGCGAAGAAAAAATTAAAGCTGATGTGCCAGGTGAGGAGGGGAATGTTAAAAATAGGCCCTGCCATCAGCCTGCAGCCTGATTTGTTCCTTATCTAAGCTGATTATAAACTAACTTACCCAGGTTCTGAATTGTAAGTAAAAAAAACAAAAAAAGAAAACTGTCTGTCAAACCTGAAAACGGTCCTTTTCATTTCTGAATGTCAGGCACCGAAATATTTTTGAAAACTGTGCGATGTAATAAAAAACATTAAATCAATTTCAAAAGCGCTTCAGCTGACAGATCAATTTCTATTTTAACAGAACTGCAAAGCCCAGGAGCACCTCTGTTTGGACAGCCACTTTCCTGGGAGGAAGAGAACAAACTGTGAAAACCTTCTAAGTGACTGCTAGTGAAACTTCTCTTCGAGCGCATCCTGGAATGATTTCCCAGCTGTGCCACGAGAGGATTTCTAAATCAGATTGGAAAAACACAAGGGTTGCAAATCTGCTTAGCATGTACGGTGCAGGGCACAGTGAAGACATTTCATAAACAGAGAATTCATTGTTCACATTCTTCAAAAGGCTCACGGTAGCAATGAATAATTTAAGATTGAGAGAGACAAAAGATCTGAAGCAAGAGTGCTACCACGGGCTTGGAATAATACCTAGTACAAGCGTTCAGGTTTTGCCCAGTGCAATTTCAGACGTGATATTCAAAGAGCAGTATGAGTACCCTTCCTTTCACACATGTGACAAGGGAAGTTGTTTGCTCTATCAGCTAGCAGGCCAGTGGCAAGGCTGAGAACAGAGCCTGCATGTGTTCTGTGTCTTTTCGGACCCATGAGTCAACATTTTTCAACGACCATAAATGAGCCTATCTCCTTTCTACTAATGAATTCATGTATGAGAGAAAGAGAGAGAAAGAGATGAAAAAATATAGGGAGGAATGACCTTTAAAACAGTCAGATTGTATGAAAAGCCCATTTTCATCTTGTTCTACCCATTTCCTCACCACTCTCTCAGGCTGAATGGCTCCTAGGGGAGAACGGAAGCCAATAGCTTTCCCTCAAGCTGCAAAATGTGAAATGTCTGCACAGACCTACCCAGACGTCCACAGGGAAATAACTACGGCATACATCCTGCATTCAGTTATTGCACAGGCCAGCCATGGTGGTAATAAAGCCCTGAATCTGTGCAGGAAAACAGATGGCATCGGATGTAATAAATATGACAAATGGCATGGAGGCTCCTGAAGAGTCACAGCATAGTGAAAGGCTGCCAGCAGCTCCTGGTTCAAATATCTAGTATTTTTCAAGTCTGAGTTAAGCCCTCTAACTTGAGAAAGGATAAGACACGCACAGAGGGTGAAAAGCAAAAAAACAAATAGCCAGCAACAAGCCCTAGAGGAAATAAAATCAGATCAAGACTTAAGCCACGGAAAGACAGCAAACACTGTATCAAGCAACTCAAATCCTAACCCAAATCACTTCTGCTGTCTTGTGTTTGAGTTCCACAGGGTGGGAAAGGTGCCTTGGTGTAACTTAGGGAGCAGTTACTAACAGGAGCATCATTGCTTTGAAGTGCTCAGAGTGGTGTGCTAATGTCAGTAGTTATCTCTAAGGGCAGACCCTCACTACTAAGTAACTTTTCTGCAGTCCATCACAACAGCCCCATCTTGTGGTTTGTCAGTTTGCAATTTTTCACTTTTCACCATTTGTGGTGCACAAAACACAGCAAGACGGACCACCAGCACCGAGTTCTACATTACTTGCCCTCCTTATGGTAACTCACCACGTCTGGGCAGTGATTGGAACCCAGCATGCAGGAAGCCTCGCTCCAGCTGGGCTGAATGGCTGACTCCAGTGCTAAGGATGGGTTAAAAGAACTTGCTAAACATGCAAACCCAAAATTAAACATAGACAGTGAGAGTTTTGGGGTTTGATCATTTAATTAAGATTTATTAAACTCACTTCAGCACGAACTGAATCATTCTTTTTAACGCCCATGCAAGAGACACACCCAGTGAAATCCCAATCTTGAACAGGTCAAGACGAAGCCAGCTGGGGCTGAAACCCTAAAATCCATCATTAAATGTGCACGGTGACATAGCAGCAGTGAAGGGGAACCACCAGACAGCTCCACGTCCTCGTTATCCCGGAGGGGCAGCAGGGACTGGGACACACAGTGCAGCTGGGCCTGCTGCGGCCTAGTTTGGTCCAGTACAGCCTAGCCCGGCCTAGCCTGGTCTGGTGCAGCCTAGTTTGGTCTGGTGTGGCCTAGCCCGGTTCGGCGAGGCCTACTTTGATTCGGTGCGGCCTAGCCCAATTTGGCGCGGCCTAGTTTGGTCTGGTGCAGCCTAATTTGGTCCGGTGCGGCCTAGCCCGATTCGGCGAGGCCTACTTTGGTTCGGTGCGGCCTAGCCCCGTTCGGCGAGGCCTACTTTGGTCCGGCAAGGCCTAGCCCGGTTCAGCGCGGTCCAGCCCGGCCCGAACAAACGCGGCCTAGATGAGTCCACAGCAGGCGGAAGGACCAGGGCCCTCCCCCTTAGTGCCCGCCCCGGAAGCCGGGGCGGTGTGGCGTTGCCGTGCCCTCGGCGGGGAGATGGTGGTGCTGAGCTTACCGCTGTGGCTGCGCAGCCGCCTGACCGATCGCTTCTGGAGGGTGCAGGAGGTGCTCAAGTATGCTCGGGTGAGTGCGGCACGGCCCGGGTGCTCGTCCCCGTGGATCCCTGGAGGCGGCTGAAAAAAAAGAACCAGCGTTTTGCGTGGCGCTGGTGTATGAATAGCGCTGGAGGCCTGGGGCTGCTTCAGCACACGTGAGGAGCAGGGGGTTCTGTGCCGGAGGGGTGAGCAGCACGGGAGAAGCAGCCTGCAAGGGCTGATTTGGGGGTTTGAACTGAAGTTCTGATAGCTGTGCTTCGGCTGGGGAAGAGCCTTTTCCAAGGGCAGGCTGGCATCCTGGCGAGAGGTACGGCTTGCTGCAGAACTGAGCTGGGAAATGTTCCTTTAAGTGATGGCAGCAGCAGCGTGAGTTATTTGGGATGACAGTTATTCCACTGACCATACGGCAATGGCCTGTCATGATGCAGGGGTGACAGTGCCAGCAGAGGGTATTGTCCTATTCCTGCGGACAAAAGTGAGAGGGTAGCGCAGGAATGGGGATGAATGATAAAGATTTAGAGGTTGTTCAAAAGCACCAGTTGCCCTCAACCTGGAACCACAGCCTAAAGTGATGTCGGCTTTTCTCTCCCTCCTGCTGGACTGAAAGGTTTCATCCTGAACCAAATTTTCAGTTTTGAGTTGTAAAGTGATGAAAGAATATTTGCAGTATATGCCAGCTGCAGGCTTAGCTGATGGTTGTGTCTTGCGAAGCCTGTTATGAAGGGGTTTGAAGAGCAGACAAGGATATATTAGCATTACTGAAGGATTTAATAGCTTTAAAGTTAACAAGAACATCTTGTTTTTATTTCAGCATTTTCGTGGAAGGAAGAATCGCTGCTATAAGTTGGCTGTACGAAATGTTACCAGAGCTTTTGTGAAGTCAACGAAGGCCAGAAAACAGAAGAAAAGGTTCCTAAGAGCGGTAAATAGCAAACTGTTATCTGTAAACATTGTAACAGGAAAAAGCACAGAACTGATAGAGCCACTTTTCTCTGGGGGGAATTGTCTCTCAGAATGTGTTACCAACATGAAAAATGCTGTGAATTTAAAGTAGTAACCCCTCGGTGATCTGAAAAAGCTCACATTCATGGAGATGTATGTTGCACTGAGAAAAATGAAGGTCTGAATGTGTTAAAATTTACTAGATGTGAGCAGATCAACATCACAGAATGCTTATTTATATAATATTTTATCACCCAATATGTTAATTTTTACACTTTCAGCTCTGGATCACTAGGATCGAAGCAGCTTCTCTTGAACATGGTTTGAAATACTCAGCTTTCATAAGCAATCTGTTTAAGGTAAGGATGGTGCTTGAGTAATGTAGATGTAGTTTGACAAAACAGATCAAAAGGTTGCTGTCTGCAACAGCAAGAAACTCAGTGTGCAGCTGCCACTTGCCAGTCCTTGAAGAGAAAGAGTGGGGATGTCCAAATGGGAGCCTGAGCAGGCAGTACCAGCTTAGAGCATGGGTGGAAAAGCTCCCTCTGTCAGACTGAACTTCTTCCAGCACTATTCTCCTTCCTAGCAATGAAACAAGCTGTGCTTATGAGAATTGTACTCGCTTGAGGCACTAAACTCTGCCCTGATCCTGTTTCTCTCAGTTTCCTTTTACTCTGTTAGACATCGTTGCTTCTAAGTGAAGGATATTTTTCTAAGGTTCTCTGTAACAAGATTCAGAAGAAGCCAACATGCAGTTCTTCAGTTTAGAACGTGAGAGATTTGTTCTTTGCTTCTTAGTTTGTATTGGAAAGACTTTTGAGAAAGTCAGGACAGAAATTAGTGGCTTAAGGAGACACCCATGACTGAGTAATCATGTCTGACAGTTCTCTAGTTGTGCCAAAACTGTACAGCGTAGGAAAAAATGGTGATTTGCCTTAAAACCTCAGATAATTACTAGGCATTGCAGTGTTGTTGCTATTCCTAAAAATTACAGTACTTAACCAACAATTCATCTTATACTTAGACCCAGGTGGAGCTGAATAGGAAAATGATTGCTGATTTGGCCATTTACGAGCCAAAGACATTCAAGTCCCTCGCTGCCTTAGCCCAGAGGAGGAGACAAGAAGGTATCCTCGCCGCCCTGGGAGACAGGAAGGAGCCAGAGGGGATATTTTCACGTATCGTGCACCACTATTAACATCCAGCACCTGCGGATGGGCGTCGTGAGCAGGAACTCGTAGTGCAGGGCAGACCTGCTCACAGGCTGAGGTCAGAGCTGTGGAACAACTCCGTGATGATTGTGGCAGGGTGGAAGGGCAGGGCGTGATGTTTGCGTGGGTGAGTTGTATTTTCCCCTCTGTTACACGTGAGTTGTGTTAAGAACAGGAGCTTGGTGTCAGTGGTGACACCTGTAGGAGTTCTGATGTTAAGATGTCTATAGCGTGCGCATACCTGCTGTTAAAGACTTAATAAAGATACTTTTTTATTAACAATTTCCAATTATTAAATTGGAAAAAAAATCTGAGTGACTACTAGCATTGTAATAGGGGAAAAAAAATACTTAATAGCTAAAAAACCCAACACCGTACAACCCTGCCCCAACAGAACAGCTGGCACCGGGACGCGCACAAGTCCGCCTGGTGCTGCTGGGCCCCTGCTAACGGCGGAAGCCCCGTAGCCGGAAGTCACATAGCCGGAAGTCCCGCCCACTCCGCTCTTCAAATTCCCAAGAGCTGCGTCACGCTGCCCGAAAGAGCGTCAGATGTCGCGGTGGCTCAACCAATCGCTGCACACCGCTCCGTCGCGTTCCGCCAATAGGAAGTGGCCGGAAGTAGAAAGGGGCGGGGGAAGCGTTGAGGGCGAGGCGCCGCCCGGCGGAGAAGGAGAGCGCAGGCAGGCGAGGCGGCGGCACCACAAAATGGCGGCGGGGTCAGGCAGCGCTGCGGCCGTGGCGGCGGTAACGGGCGGCGGCCCCGCGGGGCCTCACGCTGTAGGCGTTACGGCGGGCGGCGCCGCAGCGGGGAGCGGCGCGCCGGTTCCAGGCCCCGGGGCCGTGCTGATCGGGGACCGGCTGTACTCGGGTGTGCTGATCACGCTGGAGAACTGCCTGCTGCCCGAGCACACGCTGCGCTTCACCCCGTCCATGAGCAGCGGCCTCGACCCCGACACGGAGACCGAGCTGCGCGTCACCGGCTGCGAGCTCATCCAGGCGGCCGGCATCCTGCTCCGTCTCCCGCAGGTAGGCCGCGGTCCGGGCCTGGGTGGGGCGCGCAGGCCTCGCGGCGGCCCGGCCGGGTTAAGGGCTTGGAACGGCGCACCGTGAGGCCTCGAACGGCTCCGGGCCGCGCCGCAGGGCTCTCGCGGAAGGGATTGGGGGCGGCAGCAGGAAGCGCTGATGTAAACGGGGGCGGGAACCCCGTTGGGCTTTGTTAAGGCCGGGCTCGGGGTTGGGGGTGCGTGGTCCTGGTGGGATTCGCTCGGAATGAGTTTTGCTGTGGGTTCAGAGCGAAACTTCCCTGACTGCGGACTCCCAGGTACTCGAGTTGTAAGAGGAAAGCCGTGTTGGAGTCACGCTCCTTCCCCGCCCCTAAGGAAATACCCTGTGATGTTTTCTTTTGGTTTTGTTTGTTGTTTTTCTGGCAACGTTCGGCTTTTCTGAGTGCGGAGGTTTGGGGGCTTCAGATTGGTAATATTTGAGGTGATTTGATTTGCCACTGCAACAGCAATGCTCCTTTTCTTTAGATACTGCTTAACTAGCTTGTTTATTAGCTTTATTTTGGTGTTAAACCTGTTGCTAATCACCCAAAGTGTTGTTTTCTTGACCTGGGAATGGCTTTATTAACACCTGTTATGACTGCTTCTTTCTTAGGTTGCTATGGCTACAGGACAGGTGCTATTTCAGCGTTTCTTCTATACCAAGTCTTTTGTGAAGCATTCCATGGAGGTAAGAAACAAACATGATGTGCATGGCTAGAAAAGTGACTTAATTTTTGCTCTGTTTCACCTGGTTGTCCACCTGGATGTGGTCAGAGCATTGGTAACTAACCTGCAGGCTTACAGACCGATGTAACTTTGCAAAGCTGCACGGTGTTTAGTGATTTCTGTGAAGTGTTTTCCTGTTTTTACCACTGTTTTCTCTTGTTATCCCTCCTTAAGCTATTGAAGGAGATGAGCTTCCAATTTGAGCAAAGCATCAGTCTCTTGCAATACTTCTATTTCAGCACGTGTCAATGGCCTGTGTTCATCTGGCATCCAAAATCGAGGAGGCACCGAGGCGCATCAGGGATGTAATTAATGTGTTCCATCGCCTCCGACATCTGCGAGAGAAAAAGTAAGCTCAGGTTTGGAAATAATCTGGAGTGTTTGCTTTATATTTCATTTATTTGACTTTGCTGGCTGATGTTGGTATCATTTTTTGTCTAATAAATTGGAGACCGTGTTGAAAAGATCTCATTAAGGAGAAAGGGGAGTTGACCAAGTTAAAATAAAGGTTTTTGGTGCTAGAAGTAGTGGTGGTGCATCTTAGCTTTACACAAACACAACTTAACATGCATAAATAACTCTGG